CCTGTTGTGACCTGCTCATTGTACATGTCAGAGATCGTCAGAGGAGAACTGCATCACTGAGGCAGCGAGAGAGGGAGATGCCTGAGGAGGAAGTGGGCTTGAGGAGGGATTATTGCTTTATTGTTTCTCGTGGAAACTCTCCTCCTCCCACTCTCTCTCTTCTCCCCCTTCTCTCACTCCCTTCTTTGAAGTTTGAGACACTGGGAGATTGTATGTACTTCGGGCTTGGACACAAACAATTTCCGGAGACATCATCGTTCCGCTGATTCAGACTTGTAGCACGACATTCATGTGCTTCTAATCCGTCTGGGTTTATTGCAAAAGTTTTAACTGTGCTAATATTTTTTAACATTCCTGTGCCTTTTGTCTTTTAAAACACACAAAAAAACTCGAACAATCTTTCAGGACACAGCAGATGAAATGCACTGGCAGAGGCTAAGTGCCTCCTTGGAGAGAATGACTGCTGTAACCGATGGAGATAGAGCTGTGGAGGGCATAGAGGTAAGGCTCACTTCCTGTCCCTCCTCCTGCTCCTCCCCCTCCTCTTTTCCCTGTGCCTGCTCCACTCCTCCTCCCTTTTCCTCTCCATCTTGTCCACTCCCGCCCCACCACCATCTTCATTTTTCTTGCCACCATTGCTGCTGTTGCTGTTATTCTGGTAGTGATGGTGCTGTCGGAGGTCGCTGCTGCAGATGGTTATGATTGTCTTTCCTCCCATAACACCAGACCTAGCTCACATTTCTATGAACTGTGCTTATAAATTGCCACCTAACACCTGTAGGAACCTTCAGTCTTGCCATGGTACCGAGTCCCTGCTGGATCAAGTTCTGTTGTTCTCTGTGAGTTGTGCCTGAATGTTATGTAAGGTTGCTTTGCTGAGTGTGTTTTGATTGGTGAATTGAAGATGCACTTGCATGTAGTCTCTGTAACTGTGTTGCGTTGACTGCAAGTTGTGAAGTTGTTTGCCCTTCTCTTCATTTTTTTTGTTGATTCTTCGCAAAGTTTGGAGGTCGTAATGGAAATGAACCTAAACAAAGCCATATCTGCAAACAGTCAGTATACCTAAGATTTGTCTGCAATTTTGCTGGCGCTGTAGGCTCGGGCAAGAGGTTACTCCTGGTACACAGCCATAAAAATAATGCAGCTGTGTTTCATAGTCCCTGTCTGTAGACGCTTCCACTGTGACCTGACAGTGCCAAAACGTGGACGGCTTTATGTTTTGCCACGTTCCATCGGGAAGGGACTAAGGTGTAGCTGGTTGCTGCCTAGATATAAAGTCAATGCCCTATTCCGTGAAGTGAGACCTCAGGATGGAGGCCGTCAAAGCTGCTCGAGTCTGGATGTCAGAGTGCAGACCGCCAGGCTGATTGGGTCAAGTTTCATTTGTTCGACCTGTGAGGCCTGCACCGAGCCCAGAGGAGCAGTGCTAAGTCAGCCTGCCTCAGTCTCGGAGTTTCTGGCTATGGTGGATGCGGAACTAGACTGGTGCTTGCTGGGAGAGGGTGGGACTTGGGCTGGAAAGCATTAGATAGGTAGAAGGAATAGGAGGGAGGCTGGCTTGTCACTGGGGGAAAAGCTGGTGTACGGAGCATGTTAAGGAGGCTGCTGTCGTGTCATTTGGAACATCCGTTAAAATTGGAACGATACAGAGAAGATTAGCAGGGCCCCTGCCCAAGGATGACACACGTAAATGGAGAAATGGTCCAAACTCATGGTATGGTCATACCATTGCTAATTTGCCCGATCCCATCCGAGCTCAGAAGCCATGCGTTGTTGGGCCAGAATAGTATTGGGATGGGTAACCTCCTTGGAAGTCACAGTGCTGTATCTTAAAAAAAACAAAGGACACTGCTGTGGCGAGTCACTGGGTATGCTTGAGTCTAATCTAATTCTTTCAGTGGCCAATGCAGCACTAAGCATTGTGGAGCCATTTCAAATCATCCTGCCTCAATTTCAGAGCTCATCACTAAGCATTGTGGAACCATTTGAAACCATCCTGCCTCAATATCGGAGCTTCTTGATATGGTAGATGTAGTAGCAGTACGAGGGAGGTTGGATAAACACTGGATATAGAGGATATTGAGGGAGAATGCTGTGGTGAGTCACTGGGAATGCTGTAGGCTAACAAGCAGATGCCGGCTGCGGCTATGCGCGGCGGCATGCGGCCTAGGTGATACTATGTGGGTGCGGGTGGGTGATCGTATGTAACTCGATAGCAATATGTGGGCGGGCTGGCACAGGTCGGGGCAGGTTGGCGATACAAAGTGTGCCGGGTGGTGCAAATGGCCAAAAAAAAAACCCGCAAAGCCCATGGCTGAAGGGTACACCTATCCACTATTAATGGCAGATCTGGGATCAAATCTTTTCATGTTCTAGGGGAAGATTCATTCTCATTTTGCACATTTAGAATATGGAAAGTTACACAGCCATGGGGCGCCGTGCCGCTTCTCCCGAAATGCACAAAAGACAAAATTTGGCGGTGTATCTTTCCATGTTCTACTGGAAGAGTGAATGTTCCGCTAGAACATGGAAAGATACACCACTATATTTTTCGTCTTTTGTGTATGTCGGGAGTAGCGGAGGAATGCCCCATGGCTGTGTATCTTTCCATGTTCTAGCTGAAGATTCCTTCTTATGTCAACGGGCCTAGCACAACAACAGGTCTTGCCACACAACCAACTGTGGGAAATGAGAATGAATCTTCCGTGAGAACATGGAAAGATACACCGACATTTTTTCATCTTTTGTACATGTCAGGAGCAGCGGAGTGACACCCTATGGCTGTGTATCTTTCCATGTTTTAGCGGAATATTCACTTCCATTTTGCACCATCGTCGCTGAACTGACGGATCGTTTGTCCACGTGGTGAGTAGTGCTCCAGCGGGGTTTGAGCTCATGCCCTGCTCACCAGTGGCTAAACGTCTTTTCTTCCTCGAAAAACATCACACTATGTACTTGTACTCAAACACCGGCCCTGCTCACTACAACTCCCTCTGTTCGAGGTTGCACGGGGACTCTGCAGCTGCCAGCGCGTCAAAACCGCCGCGACGGGGCAAAAATGATTCTGAGCTGTGGTGGGCCACATCCATGTGCAAAAGAACTTTCAAAATTCGGTGGCATGGCCCAAAAACAGGACGTGGCCAGAGCGTTCAACCCGCTCACCTCTCGAGACACAGAAAACTGAGTTCGGAAGGAAAAAAACTTTAAAAAAGTTAAAAAACTGAGTACGGACGCCGCCCGGCCGGGTGGGCCGCCCGGGCAAACCAGGCAGGCAAAAAAACAGCCCAGAATTTTTTTTTTTTTTTTTTTTCCAAAGGCGGGGTCCTCCTGTGCTCGGCGAGAGGACCCCGAATCTGCAATAAAATTCTGGTTTGGGGGGGGG